AATAATTTTTTTTTGTTTTAATTATTTTTTTCATTCCTCACAAATTTACATTTCTGTTTGCAAATTTATAGTTTTTTTTATTTATTTATTTTTTCTTTTTTTATGCGTTCACTTTCGACTTGTTACATTCACTTGGGTGAAGTTAACTGTTCTGGAAGTACCGAGACTTTCGCGGAACTGCCAAGAAGGTTGCATGCATACAGCGCCGCACAAAATAATTGCACTATGCCACAACAGCTCTAGGACAGCTTACTCCCAGTTCCCTTTAATTCATTTAGTAATACAATAAATCTTCAGCAGCTGAAAAATATAAACAAAAATAATTTCTAATAATTGTTTAGTACATTTTTTAAGAGTTTTTGCTTTGTAAATGTAAAAAATTAAAGTTCTTATTTTGTTAAGACAGATAAAGAATAAAGGGAATTAAATATTGCTTTATGATTTATTATTAGTAGCATTATATTTATTTAAAACTAACAGTCGCTCAACATCTTGAATAAGAGTATTGCAAGAGGATGGCTGTAGCAAGGATCAGCTGTGGACTAACACCTTGGAAAAAGTGGCGTCTCATAATAGATTTAATATACATTGCGCTCAAACCGTTCAAGCTAAAATAACCAAATTCGCGCAAGGTAACGGGGTTTACAATAAGAACGCTACAATATCTGTTTTTAAATAAAACAAAAATGATTTGGGATATCAATCATTTGCTGTGAAAGTGAATTTGATGCCATTATGTAAGGAGCTCGATTTCTTTTGCATGGCCACCACAAGCACGCTTGTAGAAGTTTATACGCTAATCCCAATTTTCGAGGGTTTTCAAGCATAAATCGGAAATTTGATCTTGTAAGGATGTAGGCCAAGATCTTTTTGAAAAATACGCCACAACAACGTCACAGACATGTCCAACGCTTGAAAATGACGTGTGAGAGACTGATTTGAATCTTCCTCAATTGATGCGTTGCGGCAGCAATATTCGCGACACTACGAGCACTTCTTTGCCTTACTGGCACTTGAATTAAAATTTTCCACTAGACGCTCAATTGTCGATCTGACAGCACTATTATGACGACCATAAATTGGACTTAGTGCTCTTAAAGTTCAGAATTTCGGTAGTAAATTTTAACAATTTCGGTTCGTTGTTGGATCGTACATATTTCCATGGTAAACCTTACTGAAGAGAAATGTCAGAAGACTGTCCGGTCACTTTTGTAGCGTTCCTATTGAAAAACTCGTTTCGACTTAAAATTACTTTCTATTCTAACTAGTTTTGGGCCGAATGTGTCGCTCAGTGAGTATTATTTTTTATACATATATAAAATTGCTTTAAAATATACCTAAGCAATATCAATATTAATTCAATCAATAAAATGCTCGGTTACATCCGAACTTAGGCCTTCCTTACTTGTTTATACATGCAATGTACAGCGCCTGATTATGGAATGACTTGATTTTGACAGCTCCTGCTCCTGGTCATGTTTGTTTACGGATTTTGAAAGTGGGTTTTGTCAGTGGGTTCAGTAAGGTTTAACATTTCATCTAGTCAAAATTCATTTTGGTACAAAGGTTGGAAATTGTACTAAAGAAAACACGGAAATCTAGTCAAATCACACCCATTACTGACTTAATGCCTTCGACATCAAACGAAGTAGTCGCTATTGATCGTGTGGTTCGGGAAACGCAATTGCACCTCAAACAATTTTCCATTTAGTGCATATCGTGATATGGCGGCAACACTGGCTCTTATTGCGAATGACAAATCGAAATGGCAATCATTAATATCAATAGCGAGCGTTATAACACGATGTTTGCCGACTTGTTTCCAGGAATGTGATGAAATTGACGTGCCCGAGCACTATTTTCAGCGAGATGGTGCATCGACTCATGTTACATGACACGTTGCGTGCAAATTTTCGCGACTAATTTCCAGATATAACCAAGTCAAATGGTCACCAGGATCAGGCGATTTAAGACCTCTAGATTATTTTCTCTGCGGGTATGTTAAATCAAAGTTTTACGCCAATCAAACAAGCGACGCTCGAGCAGTTCAAAGACAATATTCAACGCCTTATAGCCGAAAGTCCAGCAGAAATGCTGCATTGGATCATCAAAAATTAGCGTAAAAGGGTGGAGTTGTGCAAACGGACCGTGGTGGATATTGGTCGATATTTTCTTTAAATCATAAATGGCTTAAAATTATATACATATAATTTTGACCAAATTTGAGTGTTTTGATTTGAGTGGTTTTCTTTGGCAGACCCTCCATAAATGTATAGAAAAGTTGTGAGAAAATATATATAAATATAAACAAATAATTTTAGCAAAATTTTGGGGAGAAAATTTATAACAAAA